CTCCGACTACTCCTTCCTCCTCCTCCTCCTCCTCCTCCTCATTATCATCATCATCATCATACTCCTCCTCATGGTTCAACGCACGTGGGAGGTTCACACACGCATGGCAGCGGAACAACACATACAACCAACAGCAAACATGAGACACGCAACAGCGCAGCAAACAAGTAGCACAACAAGTTAAACGCAGCACAGCGAAAACACACAGGCTACCAAACGGCCCCTCAGCTACTACTACTGCTGCTACTGCTGCTACTACTACTACTACTACTACGACTGCTACTGCTACTGCTGCTACTACTACTACTACTACTACTACTATAACTACTGCTACTACTGCTACTACTACTGCTACTGCTACCTACTACTACCTACTACTACTACTACTACTACTACTACTACTACTACTACTACTACTACTACTACTACTACTACTACAACCACGACAAGTACTACTACTACTACTACTACTGCTACTACTACTACTACTGCTACTACTACTACTAGCAACGACTACTAATGCTACTACTACTACTACTACTACGACTACGACTACGACTACGACTACGACTACGACTACGACGACGACGACGACGACGACGACTACTACTACTACGACTACTACGACTACTACGACAAGTACTACTACTACGATTACTATTACTACGCCGACTACTACTACTACTACTACTACTACTACTACTACTACTACTACTACTACTACTACTACTACTACTACTACTACTACTACTACTACTACTACTACTACTACTACTACTACTACTACTACTACTAACTACTACTACTACTACTACTACTACCACTACTACTACTACTACTACTACTACTACTACTACTACTACTACTACTACTACTACTACTACTACTACTACGAACTACGACTACGACTACTACGACTACTACTACTACTACTACGACGACTACTACTTCACTTCTACTTATACTTCTACTTCTACTTATACTTCTACTTCTACTACTACTTCTACTTCTACTACTACTACTACTACTACTACTACTACTACTACTACTACTACTACTACTACTACTACTACTACTACTACTACTACCTACTGCTACTACTACTACTACTACTACCACTACTACCGCTACGACTACTACAACTACTACTACTACTACAGCTACTACTATTACTACTTCTACTACTTCTACTACTACTACTACTACTACTACTACTACTACTACTACTACTACTACTACTACCATTACTGCTACTACTACTACTACTCTTACGATGAGCTCCTCCTTGAACTTCGCCAAACACGCCTGCAGATCCCCGATCAACTGCTTGGCCTCCATCAGCTTCTTGCTGGCAGCGGCCCGTTTGTGCGCCTCCTTGGGCCTTTCGCTGGCCGTTTGTACCTGCGCGTGCATCGGGTGAGAAGCCTGCAACTTCGCGCGAAGGTCCCCCCTCCCAGCCTACAGCTCGCTGACCAAGATCTGAACCTTCCCGTCCGCGCCCCACTTCGAGGTCTGCAATTGCTCGTCCACCTCCTTGAGCCGACTGCGCAGGAACGCCTCCACACCAGGGGAGAGGCTCGAAGGCGCCCCTGCCCCAGCCGCCCCACCACCCCCTTCGGCGGTTCCTTTCCCAACTTGAGGTCCCCCGCCTCGAGACGTTTGACCTTTGCCTCGGGCTCCTCGGACATCGCAAGCGTGTCCTTCTGCTGCTTATCCCAAAGAGGGCGACCCGACGGCGAAGGATGGGAGACACCAGGATGGAAACATTCGCCCTTGCGCAGATGACACGTGGAGCATTTCTTGCAGCCAGCCGAGTTGCACTGCGGCTTCCCCGACTTGGGCTGCACATGCCACTTGCAGATCCAGCGAACACCAGCATCCTGGCGGATCGGCGGCACCATACATCCCAGGAATGTGCAGCGCACAGCCTACCCGAGGAAGAACATGCAATCGTCGGTGACGGGGACACCGCCCCTGAAAACTTTGAAAGCTGCCGCGGACTAGCGGCATCCACGTGCTTCACCTGAGAACCTTACACGTTGAGCCAAAGTGGCCACGGAGGGAGGGAGGAGGCAGGAAAGAGAGACGAGGAGGGGGCAATGAGAGGGGAAGAGGAGCGAGCGAGCGACCGCCAGTACAGCCAGGCGTCCAGGCCAAGTGGAGTCTGGGTGGAGGAAGCCGTGGCCTCTGGAACGTGCTGCGCACGGTGCCCGGCAAAACGAATAATAAAACATGCAAAACGTAGAGGGGCGGGTGGGGTGGGGGGGGGGAAATGTCCTGTCCTGTCCTGGTCGGAGTGCCTGTCGTTGGTCGGCAGGTGCTTTGGTGTGGATGGTGGCGTGAGCTGTGCCTGCTAACGGAGTGCTGCATCGCTCGGTGGTCTTGTGCTCTTGCTAGTGCGTTGGAGTAAGGAGGTAATGGAGGAGGAAGAGGAGGAGGAGGAGGAGGAGGAGGAGAAGGGGGATACTGCAGGAGGAGGGGGAGAGGAGGGACGAGGCAGGAGGAATGAATGGAGGAAGAGAAGGGGGAGGAGGAGGGAGATACATACTGGAGGAGGAGGGGGAGGAGGAGGGGGAGGAGGAGGAGGAGGAGGAGGAGAAGGGGGATACTGCAGGAGGGGGGGGAGAGGAGGGACGAGGCAGGAGGAATGAATGGAGGAAGAGAAGGGGGAGGAGGAGGGAGATACATACTGGAGGAGGAGGGGGAGGATGAGGGACGAGGCAGGAGGAACGAATGGAGGCGGAGGAGGAGGAGGAGGAGGAGGAGGAGGAGGAGGTTGCAGAAAGGGCCGAGGAGCGCCTGCGCCGACCACAGCTTCACGGTCCGCATCTTGCCCTCCGTGAGGGTGCCCGTCTTGTCCGTGCAGATGATCGAGGCGCTGCCCAGCGTCTCCACGGCGGCCAGCTTCCTGCGCGGGCCGGCCGCACGCGGCGGTCCCCTCCTCGACGTGGGTACCGCCGCGGTCGTCGCCGCCCTTCTCCTCGATGTCGTCGTCGTCGTCGTTGTCGTCGTCGTCGAGGTTCGAGGTTCGAGGCTCGGGGATTTGGGGGCCTCCATGAGGCCTCCAGGCAACAAATCTCCAAGGTCCTCCAAGGGTCGTCCTCGTCGCCGCCGCCGTCGCAGCCGTCATCATCGTCGTCGCCGTCGTCGTCCTCCTCCTCCTCCTTCAGAGGTTTGCGGCGTTCCGAGGTCTCGAGTTGGCGTCCAGGCCGTCCGATGTTGTCACTGACCATTTGGCGTTGGCCACTGAGGAGGCCCTGTGGTTTGGGAAGCATTCCAAAGCCACGGCCTCCCACGCTGGCATTTGGCACCAATTACATCGTTTGTATGAGTCTGATCTGGACCGCCTGCCTCGTTTCTCCTGGACCTGTGCTCACATCTGTGGACGAAAGCATTGCGGCTTGTTTGCAGTCGGAATAGCCGCTCGAGAATCGTTTCGGCAATATGTGGGCTGATTGGTTCGCCGAGCTTGCTGCTATTGAGATGGCAGGCTCGGCTTCTGTGGTAAAGGCTTTCAAGCTTGGCTCTGAGCAGGCCAGGCTGAGATGAGATGTCTTGCTTTCGCGGCCGAGCGTGTGGCCCCTGTCGACCCCAGTCATCCGTCGCCCTCTCCCCCTCTCCCTGTGCCCAAGCGTGCCCCTCGTGTGCGGAAGCCGACCACCCATCTGTTTGTTGGATCCCCAAGAAAAAACGATCGGCTGTCAGACCTGCTGGCGCCAAACCACCACCCCGTCCCCTTTCAGGTCCCTCTCCTCCCGAGTGTGTGTGTGTGTATGCGTATGTGTATGTGTATGTGTATGTGCATGTGCATGTGCTTGTGTATTTGTGTGTGCGCGTGCGCGTGCGTGAGAAAATGCGTGCGTGCGTGCGTGCGTGCGTGCGTGCGTGCGTGCGTGCGTGCGTGCGCGTGTGCGTGCGTGTGCGTGCGTGTGCGTGCGTGCGTGCGTGTGCGTGCGTGTGTGTCACTCGTACCTCGAGGCGAGTCCAGAGCTCCCAACAGGCGGGCCTAAAAGGGCGCTCTAGAGAGGTCTACCAGAGCTTGCATGGCTCTGCGAAGCGTGTAAAAGTATCGGTCGAGAGTTTCCTCTGACGCGTGAAGGTCAGGCTCTGGAGAGGTGCGCGCAACGTTGTAAAGATGGAAAGCGCGCACCACTCGCTCGACTTCCTCAGGGGATGGGGAGCCAGCGAGCCCAAAACGCTGAGCAAGCGAGATGGGGGGGGCACCTCAGGGTGGTATAGAATGCCCCACAAGACTGGACAACGAATGCAATGTGCCATGTCATCCCTGCATTCAGCACAACGAAATCGACAGCTACGAATCTCGGCACTGTGCAGACGGGCGCTGGTGGGCCATCCGCCCACCTCTGTCTCCAGGACTGCGCTTTGCCATGCTGGGGGGCCACCGTCACGAACCAGGTCCCGAAGAGGGGCCCAGTGCTGGGCGCAAAACTCGACACCCCAGGAGGCCATGCTCGTGGCGATCGTGTCCTGAAGAACATCGGGAAAAAGGGTGGAGCGTAGGGGGGCGGAGAGGATCTTCCGGCAACGCAGGTGCACAGGCGCCTCCTGCGCTGCCTGCGCGGCGACCGAGGCGAGCGCGGCACGGGTGGCCTCAGAGTGCTCTCGCTGCCCGAAGCGCCCCTGCGCGGCCTCCTCCACCTGCGTGGCGATTGGCAGGGCCTACCAGAAACGCGGGGGTAAACGTCCGCACCCGATGACCTCCAGCGAGCCGATCTCCTCGACAGCCTTGCGGAGGCGCGCCAGCAGCGGGCGCCGCGTCGCGAGCGCGGAGTCCGCAGCGCGCATCCTCGACGCCATGCTGAGCACGAGCATGCTGGCAGGGCGGATCACGGACCACGAAGCCACGCCCAGCAGGCCCTTCAGCGAGAAGGACTGGGGCGGGAGGTGCCAGATCTTGTGCCACGCCCACGACTCGCGCCTGAGGAGTGACGCAGGGACGGGCATGAGCTGCATGAGGTAGCTAAGGACGGTCAGCACCCTCGAGTTGTAGAGGACCGTCGCGAGATGAACTGGAGCTCCGACGCGTGCGAGCTCGCGAACTCGATGGATCCATTTCGCTCCGACCTTCTGCCAAACGAGGTCGGGGGAGGCGGCAGGGCCCATGATGACGCCGAGGTACTCCGCGTAGGGCACGATGCCCGTGCGCTGCCAGCCTGGCAGCAGGGAGGCCAGCCATGAGCGAGTAGTCGATGCCAAGGCCTCGGAATAAGCCCCAGAGAGGGGCACGATCCTGCATTTCGGGAACTTCAGGCGGAGCCCCGCCAGGACGTCGGCAGCGCGGAACACGCGTCACTGACGGAGGGGGATGCGGCAGTCCTGCACGACTACGCCCACATCGTCTGCGCAGACTCCCCGCGCCGAGGAGGTGAAGGAGGAGATGATGGCCTCCATGTGCAGCACGAACGGGTTCATGGCGACGGCCCACAGCGTTCCGCTGAGAGGGCAGCCCTGCGTGATACCCGCGAGCACATGCATGAAGTGCTTCAGGGCCCCTTCGACCGCAACGAACGCCGTCGGTAGCCAGTGCATGCCCATGATCAGCTGGACGATGCCACCATCGAAGCCAGCGCTGCGCAAGGCAGCGAGCAGGAATGATACCGAGAGCGACGGGAAGGCGTTCCCGAAGTCGAAGAGCACCATGAGCGGCATGGAGCTGGCGGCGTTCTCGGAGAGGCCAGCGATGCGGGCGTACGTGTCGAGCAAGGTGATGTTGTCCAGGAAGTTACGCCCAGGCAAGAGGCCTCGCTGGGCCGCCGGCGCAGATCGCTCGATGCGGTGCTTGAGCTGAGCGTTGCAGCCAGCCGCGATCAGCTTCACGTCACTGTTCTTCAGCGCGAGCGGCCGCGTGGTGGCTGGAGATCGCACAGGCCCAATCGCGAGGTCGGTGTCCTTCGTGCCTTTCGGGAGGAACGCCATCAGGTGGTCGTTGAGGTCCATGGGAGGGGGGAAGCCCTGCGCAATCTCGAGGCTGACGTCAGCCAGGGCCTGGAGCGGAGCAGAGCTGCCACATCTGCTCCACGCGTCGTAAGGTAGCCCATCAGGGCCAGGCGCTGAAGGGCGTGCGCGCACGGCGGCGCGGAGAAGGTCACGGTCATCAGGGAGACGGGCCTCGTGTAGGTCAGCAATTGGAACCGAATGCTCACGCAGGTACCGCTCCAGCAGCTCGGGGTAGTCCTGATGCGCCCGCTGAAAGATGGGGACCCAGTGGTCACGGAGCTCCCGAAGCACGTCAGCCTGGGCGTTGACCACTCGCTCCTGCCCATGCTCGTCGGGAAGGCGAAGCCCCTGAAGTTTGAGAGCACGTGGGAAGGGCGTCCACAGCGTGGCACGGCGCCTCAGCGAGCGGCGCATCGCGTTGATGTGGCGGTACGAGGAGCCGTCTGGTGGAAGAGCCCTGGCACGTTGGTCGAGCCGAGCTTCACGTCGTTCGCTGTAGACTCTCTGGGCGGCGGCGAACTCCTCCTCGAAGGCGGCAGGGTCGCGCAAAGAGATCAGTGCGCCGCCGCGGTACTCGATGAGCAAGTGCGAGGAGGCCTGCTTGGACGAGGCGACGAGGCGCTCCGCCAGGTGCAGGTCGTCACGCCAGACCGCCCTCGCGATGGAGCGGAAGATGAGCAGCTGGGCGTCATTCTCGGCAGCCTTCTCGGAGAAGAGGCGATCTCTGACCCGCCGAGCGGCCTCCTTCATCAGACGCTTGTGCTCCTGCCGCTGCTGGTAGGGCTGGAGCGCATCCCAGTTGACGAACTTCGAAAGCAGTGCGAACTGGGCAGGGTACTCAGGGTCGCGGAAGATGTGCCCGGGAATAGGTTGGGCGTCGCTCGCGAGAGGAGGGCGAGCGGCAAATCGTGAGGACCAGCGGGGAGTGATCACTGAGGCCGCGTTCGTGCAGATGCCCAGGGAAGTCGCGGGTCGTCGCAGCGATGTGCCATTGAATGGTAAGCCAGCTGGGGGAGGCGATGAAGGCCCTGTCGATCTGGGTGAGCTTGGGAGGCGCGTCATCCTGGATGCTGTAGTGGGCGGGGAGCGCATTGTCGATCTCAATGAAGTCCTGGAAGATGGCCTGCCAGCGGCGCTCCTGCGGACGCGGCGCATGATGTAGCAGCACCAAGCCTTTGTTGAGGAGCGGGGTGCGGGTGAGCAGCGGAGCCGCCGCGTAGATGTTGAAGTCGCCGAGGAGGAGGACTGTGACCAGCCGCGGAACGGACTTCGCGAGGGCGATGTCCCTGCGGATGCATGCTGAGACCGCGCCCATGTCCTGCGAACTGAGGCCGAAGTTGTGGACGTTGTAGATGACAATGGAGGGGGAAGGGCTACCTGAGGTGGGCCCAGAGATCCGAAGCCGTTGAACCCTGCCCTGGGCGGGGATCCCATGAGAGAAGCGGCAAGCATCGGCGACAGCGAATTGATCAGGAAGAAGAATGGCTGTGTCACCTGTGCCCCGCCGCTCGCCGAAGTTGGCGCAGGCGCGCAGAGGCAGGTGCAGGCGGTGGAGCTCCTCGTTGAACTCGAGCTCCGTGCCGTGAACCTCCTGCACACACATGGCGGTCTTGAGCTTGAGCATCGAGCCGAGGTACCTGAACTCCCTGTCCCTCGTGTCGACGCAGCGGTGCACCAGGGCGCGGGCATTCCAGGAGCCGAAGGCTACGCAGGGCTGGTGCTCCGATGGCGCACGCCACGGAGCGAAGCGGGTGTTAAACAGCCCAGTGGATCTTCTCGACCCCGCCGAAGACGTCGTTGAATGACCGCTTGATGCCATCCTTGTCCAGCTGAGCATCAGTAGCAGCACGATAGTCCCACTCCAGAATCGTTGGGTCCTCTGCCGTGGCGCCGACGACCACTCGGATGACGGGCTTGCCCCCGTCGCTGATGATGCCTGCATGGCGGTTC